CAGCGGCTGGAGCGGCCCGGGCGGAGGAGGAGGCGAGGATGGGGGCGGCGGCGTGGGCGCGGCGGAGATGAGCGCTAGCGGCCCCAGGCCCAGGGCGGCGCGGCCGGAGTGGGCGGGGGTCCCGATGCAGGCCCGAGGGGGGCCATGGGGCAGGTCCTGCCGGTCTTCGCCCACTGCAGTGAGTAGAGTGACGTTCCGGCCTGGTGTGGTACCCGGAGGCAAGGGTGGGTCCTCGTCAGTGTCCCCCCTCCGCTCTGGTCTTCCGGAGATCCCGACTGGGGGAAGGAGACAAAGGAAGCTCTCCCCTCCCCCCGCGCTTTGGCGACGATGGGGCGGCCTGACCAGGAGGCCCGGGTGAGACAGGGCCAAGGTGGTGGGCGCTGACCTTGCTGGCTGGTGGGGGGCGCTCGCCCGGGACGCTCGAATGTGCCGTGGGGCTCTGCTCCAGGTTGGCCTAGCGCGTGGGGGAGCTGTCCGCTAGTCCTAGTGCTGCCTGCAGCCGGAGGGAAGGGGAGCCCTGAATCGAGTAGTAGACCCAGGATGGAGGAGAGGAGTCTGACTCCCACCACCTGTCTTTGCATCTCACTCACCCCCTTTTCTGCCTAGACTTCGAGGTAGCCTGGACCTCATCTAAATCGTCCAACCCCCTGACCCCGGGGCAGCAAGCATCACTGGGTTGGGGGCCAGGACACCGGGTTTAGCAGGCTTTGCCACTGGCTAGTGGTAACCCTAGGGGAGACCCCGGCACTGCTCCGGGTCTCAGATCCCCAGCTGAGTAAACAAGGCAGGGCGGAGGGCGTCCCATTTTCAACGGCACTGAGCATCTCCTATAGGCCAAGCCCCGAGCTAGCGATGAGGGGCTGGATTCCAAAATTGAAAACGCTTTTTCGAATCCCACAGCCCTAACAGACTGTGTTTAGCATTTTGACAGCTGGGGATTCCAACACTCTCCCATCCAGCCACTCATATGTCCTGAGTGTCCAGATGCCAAAAATCTAAGAATTTGCTATTTCAGTATTCTAGAGTACCATCTCAACACTTAAAGATCTTGTCCTTAACTCAGCTTACAGAGGCCCTACATGACCCGACCCCATCTACTTGCCTTCATCTCCCATCTCTCTCCCCCTCAGTCACTGTGCCCTACATATCAAGCATAATTCTTACCTCAGGGTGTTTGTCCTGGCTGTTTGCTGTCTGGAATGCTTTTCCCTGGATATTCACATGGTTTCCTCACTTCATTAAGGTGTCTGCTCATATGTCATTTTATTAGAAAATCCTTCTTGATTACCTGGATTGAAACAGCATCCCCTAATCCTTTACATATTTTACTTTTTTCCATGCGCATCATATAGGAGGGGCTTCAGAAAGTCTGTAGAAAACATTCCCCGTTATCTTTTTTATTTTTTAAGTGTTTGGTGTGAATTGAGTGAAAGTTTACAGGGCAGATCATCACTTTTACATTCAACAAATCAGATGTTTTCCTTCATTACAATGGGTTATAATTCCTTCCATGTACCATCAGTTAACAGTATTTCTCACTA